AGGCAAACTGCACGACAGAAAATCAAGAAACTCGAGCTTGCTCTCGAGACAGCGTTACAAATGCCTTTTCCCTCGTTCAAACAGACAGTGTACTCGCATTTTCGTGTCACACAGAAAGGGAGCTCGGAACAACATGCAACTTTCTAATTATTATTTCCAAACCTTCTCGAATTCGTAAAAAATCGGGAAGTTTCCCTCGGACGAATAAATTAACTTCATCGATCGATTCGCCAACAAAGGGCAGCTTCGCGAAAGGGTTAATTAAAAAATCACTCTTCCAAACGTAAGCAAAATGAAAAAACGGAGTGCTTTTAAACGGAGAGACAGGAGAAAAAAAAGGGTGAACAGAGAGAACAGGTTGAGAAAGGACGAAGGTACAAAGAGAAAGGGCGGTGTAACTCGTGTGTCTGAATGTACGCAAAATGACACCGGGGGCAGTCGGTCGAAAGGGCCCCCCACATACACCGGGCGGACCTTTTAGAAAAAAGTCACGGATCAGAAAAGAGGCTAGGGTCCAAGTCGAAGTAGTGGGTAAAGGGGAGAAACGTCGAGGAGAGGTAGAAAGTCTATATCGAAAGAGTCCGCGTTTAGCTCCGATCGTACCTTTATTTTTATTTGCGCTTCGTTGTTGATGTTCATGTAGGGCTTCGAAAAGATCTATCCCCGCCTTTCGTTTATCTCTTTTTCGTTGAAAAAAGGCAGCCAGGCGGCGAGTAAGATAGAGAGGTTGCGGCGGCGAAGGACGATAAAAAAGAAGGCAACCGATTCTTGCGGGAATTTGTACCGTCCATGAGAACCATCCTTTTTCCATCCAAGTCTATGCTTTATCCAGGTTAAATTTTGCATCCACTTTCGGGGTAATTTAAGGAACTCTATGGTTAAACAATTTGAGAATTTTGGGATTTTATTGTGTGATTTTATTTGCAAATTTTTATTGTGGAATTTGGGGATTTCTTGTTTTGAGGTTTGATGAAGTTGCATATTAAAACATTTGCAGACTTAAAAATTCCAGATAGGTATTTGAGAATGTGGAAGTTTAGGAATATATGTAGGATTTTGAAAGTTGATAATGTGGAGACTTGGGAATATAGAAATTTAGGGATTTTTAAATCTGAGAGCGTGGGAGCTTGAAAACTTAGAAATTTAAAAATGTAAAAAGTGAAGAATACATAAATTTAGAAATTTAAAAATAAAAGAGCGTAGAAATTTTGAAAATTGCAAATGTGAAAATTTAAAAATACGGAAGTTTGAGACCCTGACAAACTGTAACCTTGACATACTTAAAAATGAACAAACCTGAAAATTTAATAATGTAGTAAAATTGGAGAATAGGTGAAACTCGCCACGCGTTATATCGCCGAGTGAGGAATAGAATCGATTTCCCATCGGCAGCGTTCATCAAAAGATCTCAATAGGAAGGAAAATAATTGCACGCATGCTCAAAGAGCAATTACAGGATAGAAGATCGATTGTATCGAATGTACGGAACAACATATACGCATTTGTAACCGAAGCATTGCTCTGTAACGTAATAGAACGCTTGGGGGTAACAAGAAACACGAGTTCAGATTCAGAATGGATGCAACGCAGTCTTTGGTAACGGGCAAGCGAAATTAACAAGGGCATTATCATTGGACTCAATTTCTGATGATAGTGATTCGAAACATGCTCCCGGGCAAACCGCCGTTTCGGACATTTCTCTGATTGGTTTCGATACGCGGCGGAATCAAGAGGCAAGTCGTAGCAGTTTGTGGCAATCCGTGGCTGGCCAATGATGGCGGAATTTAATAAAGGGAATGATTACGTTCACCGCAAATCAGTATTGAAATGCGTTCGACTGACTTTGACGAATCGAGAATGCCGCGAGTGATCTCCGTTGTTCTGTTCACCACCCGCAAGATATACCAATTTAATTAATATCGTGAAATGTATCGCTACCGATCAAAACAGATAGATACCAGCCGTTATTGTGTTGCGTACAACGCGTCGATTGTCACTGTTTAGTGATAACAATTACCTAATCTGTCATTAATTAGGTCACTTGGACGAACTTCATTTGGGATGTTGTTTGGATAATTCATCTAATACTGTTTGATACGATTGTCATAATTAGGTATATTGAATACCTTTTGTTATGGTGCTTGTATTACAGACGCCTTATTAGCAAATATCGGACTGATTCAATTTGATGTAAATGGTGACATTCAGATGACGTTCAGATACAAATGATGACAACAGACATATGTTGATTATACCTAAATAATTGTATTTCAAATGTTAATATCAACATATTTACTATTTAATTAGTTGTCATTTCTTCTTTATAAGTACGTTCGCCAACAGTCAATTGTTTAATTATAATACTTGCATGTGATTTCAATTTTGTTAAAATACAAAATGATGGAAAGACACAATATCAATTATTTCACAAAAATAAATGAATACTGATCAATGAATATAATAGTTGGTGACTAATCAATTAGATATTTATTATTCTGTTGACCATGATAAAGATATACATGTACGTAATTTGAAAGATAGATTGATTGTATGAACCTCAAGTGTTATTTTCACATTATCAAAGTTTGATGAGACAATGGAACCGAAAGATCAGGGCGAATGATTTAACGATGCAGCAAGAGGAAACGGCGGTTTTCCAGTTGCCCCGTTCGCATAGACGTTTTTATATTGCCATCGAGACAGCTGCTACTTCCCTCAGGACCAGGAAGAAAGCTTTCCACGAAAGAAAGAAAGGAGTGCGGAAGAAAAGCGTTATTGTTCGGTACATTACCGTGCATGCAAGCCAACAATTAGCGTTACAGTCTGTATATCGGAAACTGTCGAAAAAGAAATATCGCACAAAGAAATCCACCGATGATTCTTCCTTGATGCTCGAATTTTTGCATTTGTCGACACGAAACGGGAGAAAATGTTTGGGAGAGAAACGGACGCGTGGCGATGTGACGTGTGGAGTATGTGTGGAGTATTCGACACGTAGGATTCACAGCGCGTTGAGTATTCAACGCATGGAATTTACTACGCGTGAAGTACTCAGCCCGTGGAATATTCAACGCATGGAATATACAACGCGTGGAGTATTCGGCGCGTGGAATATTCAACGTATGGAGTATACAACGCGTGGAATATTCGACACGTAGAATATTCCATACGTGGAGTATACAACGCGTGGAGTATTCGACGCGTAGAATATTCGACACGTGGAGTATACAACGCGTGGAGTTTACTACGCATGGAATATACGACGCGTGGAGTCACGTGGAGTATACAACGCGTGGAGTATTCGACGCGTAGAATATTCGACACGTGGAGTATACAACGCGTGGAGTATTCGACGCGTAGAATATTCGACACGTGGAGTATACAACGCGTGGAGTATTCGACGCGTAGAATATTCGACACGTGGAGTATACAACGCGTGGAGTATTCGACGCGTAGAATACTCAACGCGTGGAGTGTACAACGCGTGGAGTTTACTACGCATGGAATATACGACGCGTGGAGTACTCGGTGCGTAGAATATTCAACGCGTGGAGTATACAACGCGTGGAATTTACTACGCGTGGATTACTCGACGCGCAGAATATTTAACGCGTAGAGTATACAACGCGAGGAATTTACTACGCATCGAATTCACAACGCGCCGAGTTCATAACGCACCGAGTACCCAATGCACCAAGTACACAACGCGTCAAGTATTCGACGCGTGAAATACACAACGCATGAAGTACTCAACTCCCCAAGAACACATCATCTATTCGACACGTGGAATTGAGCACAGTAAAATTACCAAATACTGCACATAAAAACGCAAAATTGCATGTGCGGAAAATATGCGTTCTCATAAACCCTCATCGAAATTTCACATGTATGATCGATCATACGTCGTATAACAAACGCGACCGAACGTGTTACAGTCGTAACTTCCATTTTGCGAAGGCGAAAAGTACGGGAGTAAGTATGCTATAGGTGACTGGTTTATAGAAGGATAGGAGGTGGTTCATAACCCAGGTAGGCAATAGGTAGAAGCAAAGTAGCAGGAGGCTACGTTCGACCTAGAAAGCGACCTATATTTTAAGCATGCGGTTTTATCGCCAGGAATACATTAAGCGACACGACGACCTGTTCCCTAGCAGCTAGGCACGGCCGGGCAAAAACACACAAACATGCCCGATACACTGATCATTCAATGGAAATTCAGGTAGACCTTCGCAATATACATGGTAAGTTCGCGCGCTTTATGGCATACCTGCGCTACCTGTGTACGCTCGTCGCTTACGGGGGAACATTTTATCCGACAAAGGTATCGAACGACCGTGCAAACCAACGGCTACAAGAAAACATTTGCATACAAACGAATCACCGTTCGTTTTTTGCCCACGACCACGTGGTTTTCGCGGCCAGACACGTTGCACGAATTTTAGCCTTCTTCGTCTTCGAGCCATCGTTATGTTATCGTGTCTGAAAGATCGCTTGCAGCCTGTCGGAGCAACTGGTTACCCTTTTGGGCAGGTAACCGATTGTGTGCCTTTGAGATGCACTTATGGCAAAATAGGTCAAAGATGTATACGTTTATGGCTGACAGTTGAAAATGGTGTTGCAATTTGGGAGGTAATTAGAGGCACATAATTTAAAATTGAATGATTCAAAAATGAGTATGTTGATAATTGAGAGTTACTTTATTATTTGTGAATATAGCGTCGCTTGGGTGTAACCTTAGCTTGTAATTCATTTTAATGATTATTAACATGATTATCATTATAATGATTATTAAGTAAATTAAGTTTGCAGTCTACATTAATAGAGCTACATAAATATAATTTTACTAATAAGATTACATAAATGGAGTTCAGCACAGTCTTTTAAACAATTTCTTTTCTCGAAAACAATTAGTTGTATAAATCAGATCTGTCAGATTCACTCGACCCTCCATGTTACCCCAGCGTTTTGCAGAGATTAAACTCGAAGCTTTTTTATTACAGAAACTGGCCACCGCAGAAAGCACCGTGCACAAGAAGCGTCCATTTCCACGGATCATTTACACGAAAACCCACGGATACAATTGAGGGACGTAATTTTTGCAAACAGTCTCTGTTGCACGACAGAGACTGTTATCTTCGCGCCATCAAATCAACGAATCCAGTCGGAACCTTTGTAATCGAACAAGAGGGCTTGGAGGATGATTACAGGCGAGGGCCGAACGGTTGCCTCGATTGCACCGTTGCCTAAACGACAACGACCCTCTTTGGTCAATGAATGACCATCAGCTGGTGGCGAGTAATCGGCTGTCACCTACAAACCACGAAGAACTCTCTATCGGGGCTGATCGAAACAGAATAGGTCGCGCGATTCAACGTGGATAAGCTTCGCTGAAGATCAACCCACTTGTCTGGCCAATTTTCTTGTACTCCCGAATTACCATACCGTTAACTCGGGGCGAGCTACCGTAAGAGAAAATAAAATTCGTTTGAGGCACCGAACACCGGAACGAATTCGATTGTCCTCTGATTTCTCATTCGATTTCCACGCTCAAAGATTCGCAAACCTCTTTTTCCTGGAGGTCCTTATAGGTAGACATTTGTGATGGTTGGTTGCTAGAATTTCGGGGTTTAGGTTTGGTGTTTAGATTTGGGGTTTAGGTTTCTAGGGATTAGTGTCGAGGTTTCACTGAGTTCAGGTTTCATTGAATTTTGTAAATTTGAGTATGTGGATATTTAAGTGGTTAAGGATTTGAAGACATAAGATTTTAATAAATAGGACAGTTGGTTATTTGGATACTTTTAAGTTTGAAGATTTCATTTTAATTACTATGAAGTATGATTTTCTACGCTTGACCAATTTTTTACTGAATGTCTATATGTACACATATGTTTAATGTCCGCATGTATGGATATACTATGTAGCCATATGTATGAATATACTATGTATCCACATGTATGAATATACTATGTATCCACATGTATGAATATACTATGTATCCCCATGTGTGGATGTACTATGTAGCCACATCTATAAATATCCTATGATCCACATGTATGAATACACTATGTAGCCACACGTGTGAATACACTATGTATCCACATGTGTGGATATACTATGGAGCCACATGTGTAAATACACTATGTATCCATATGTATGAATATACTATGTATCCACATGTATGAATATACTACGTATCCATATATGAATAAACTATGTATCCACATGTATGCATAAAGTAAGTACACATGCATACTAAATATCCAATATGTATGCTTAGTACCCACATTCTGTAGAATGATTCCAAAGTATTAGAGCGTGGTATAGAATTACCTAGGGACGTTAGCAATTTCTCTGAGCGAGAAATGGTTATCGAAAGATCAAAATGCTAGACGAAGTCGTCGAAACGATGTAATCCGTGCTATGTCGTCGATAAAAATAGTCGGAACGAAATGATGGCCACTATCACACTAATGTCCGTCTAAGTATGGTTCTGTGTTCCAGGGTTGAAGGAGTCGGATCTCTGTTATTATTTTTCCTCGGACCTCTTTTAACCACCCTCGCCACGGCAGTTCGCTCTCGAGGCTGCCTCGGAGCCACGGGGTACAATGATATGTTCTACCGAACAACGACCGTCCAACCATAAGAGACGAGATAAGACAAGATGGGACATCGGGATACGGGAACCTCTGTATTAACTTCCTTCTTTTTTCCCTTGAAAATGGAACTGCTGGAAGAAACGAACACTCTCGGAAGGCTAATCGGTCTGATCTGTCGCTTTAAGATATGACGCGAGTAAGTAAAGGCGAAGGATAATGTTGTCGTACAAACTCGTAAGCGATGACGTTGCTTTCTTAAGATAAATTAACGTTGCGAAAGATAGTTATTCTGTTTAAAAAAAACGTGATTTAAAATCTGTTAATAAGTTGAGTGTCACGATGGCGATATTACTCTAACGGTAAATCAAGATGTGTCACGGTGTAATTGCTCGACAGATAAAAGCAACTGGATTCGATAGTAGAAACTGACCACTTTGTCAGATTGAAGATCGTGTAAAACGATTACCGTTCGAAGCTCTAGCATTCTTAGCTAGGAGGTGTGGGCAAAGAGCTTATGACTGATAAATGGATAAGACACGTGTGCGAGATTAAATTCGATCAATGACAGTTGCATGACGCGTATTTATAACCGCAGCTGATATAACTGATCAAACACTCGAGCAAGTGTTGCACTTTTATCCTGTCACGCATGCTGACCACAAATTAATTTCCTCAATCGATACTGCTTTTATTCTAAATCTTGTCTTAAATATCTCCATAATATTCAAGTGCAAGGACATATTTAATTGAATTAATAACTTCGGAGCAATGTCCGGTTGTGGAAATGTCTCTATACAATAAGACTTTAATTAAACTGAAAACCTGAATCGTCTTCTTCAAAGATGAATATATAATACACGTAAATTACCAGGTGAATAAATATACCTGTGTCTATTAAGTTAGTATGCGGGTATATCGACTTGTCAGACACGTATTTGAAGATCCTTGTCACTAATTAAAATTTAAGAACGCGAGTCAGTTTTGTCCCATTCTGAAGTGTGACTCGATATTGAAGAATCAAGAGGAATTAAAGGGCCGATTCGCAGATTTAAGATCCCCATGAACGATCAGCGACACGATAATCGGTCACGCAACCGGAGATCACAATAGCCTCGGGTGCCGGGAATAAATGAACTGGCTGTGATACGAGAAGGGTGAAAGGAGACGAGATAGGAAAAGCGACGCGTTCTACCCTCCAGTCAAAAGGGTTTATGGCGCGGACAGAAATCCCGCAGACAATGGCTGAATTAATTCCTTAAGGTCTAATCGGCCTGTAATGATCCTGATCTTAGTCGCTTGGTCCGGATGGAATTAGCTCAAGTATTCGAGGTCGTCCAGATTACTGCCGTTCGTCACGTAATTAACGACGTTTTGGTCGATGATTTAAGGGTTTCGATCCGAACTAACCGACCCTTGGTCCATGACCTCCCTTTGTCGACTTGCGAGACAGGGGATGAAGATCGTTTTAGGGACTATTGCCTCGGAATTCCAGCGAATTCCGATAAAAAACAAAATCCTATCGGTTGTGCTAGATAACCATTAACGGCTTCTCTGAAATTAGTTCAATGTGGACATTTATTGGAAACCAAGTTGAAATACGATTGTTGTTAAACCTGAAATGCGGACTAAATAGTTGTTTTTATTAGACGTGATATTTTATACAAAATGTTCAACACACTATAAAACATATGAATATTACAATATATGTACAATATCATCCCCCTTTCTATGTATCATCTAAAACTAGTTTAAAAGTACATTTAAACTCTATGTACTTTTATTTAATTGTACCTTGTAATTTTATAAATGTACCCTAAATTGTATATTCTAATATTTTCAAATTTTCAATTTTTTCAAATTGCGTCCTCATTTAAACATGTCCTTTAATTTCATAAAATTGTGTATGTCTAGTAGTACATTTTTGAGCACATTTTATAGCATTGCCTCGTGATAAGAATACGTCTGGAATGGCGGAGTGGCTGCTTCATCCCTTCACAGGTGTCAGCAAGGCTTGGTCGCACCACTTGTGCAGGTCCTCGAGGCAGGATCGAAGGACAGCCACTCGTCCTGCGATCACGGCATCTCGTACCCTCGTCTCCTCGATCTTCTATAAAATACAGAACGCATTAATTAAACGGTGACTGGTGATAGGGATGATGGCGGCACCGGTGGCGTTGCAACGTGTCGTAGCTCAAAGCGGTTTACAACCCCTGTAAATTCAAGCTGCAAGAACAATGGACGACGCCTTAAATTTTCTCGTAGGCCGTGCAGAGAATTTAAACCCGTCCGATTTCGAGCTACTCGACGTTCCAGGCGAGCGCTATCAGATCGACACGGAAAGCAATGAAACCGACTTTATTCCCTGCATTATCTTATATTGCCCTTCTATCGCCTCTGAGGGTGAGACGTCGACGGTAAAACCCGGGCGAGATTGAATCATATTGACAGGATCGTTCTGTCAAACACTCTAAAGATTATGGATCTTGCTATAATTATACACGTAGTCAATATTGAAGATTTTATTAAAGCTTCAGTACTCATGAATTGTTCATTAGTACCTGTTAAAACCTAATCGTAATTCATTCAGAATTTGATCACTGATCTTAGAATTTAAAATGTGTTTGAAAAATAAATATTAATGAGTGTTCTAGGATCTTCATGATTAATGTATTAAATTGTTCAACAAACTATAATTTTATTAACTAAATAAGTATTTGTTGTTTCATAAATAAATTACAATTTCAATGAATAATATAATCTTAATGGACGATGAGTATTCTTTTAAAGCAGACAATACAGTGTTCAATAAAAATAAACGATTTCTCAAAATCACGTTTGAAGCACACTTCCAAAGTCATAAAATAAAACCCAGAATCCGAAGCAATTGAAGCACTGGTTCAAAAGTCGAATTCCTGAAATCGAAGGGTGCGTATAGCGTCGATTCAAAGCGACAATAAAACGTGATCTTGACGAGGTAATCTCAATTCGGACTCGCCTATGGAGGCTAAGAAGAAGAAAAGAGTGGACCCCTGGCGAAGACGCGAGAAGAACGCGTAACACGCACCAGGGAATATTTCCGACAACCCCTGCGAAGGGTGGCAAGTCACGGCCATCCGGTCGGAGGGGTTTTAGCCATCTCGAAGAAAGGACCGATCCCCCGAGGCCGATGGATGGAACCGCATTTCGTGTAAGCGGAACTCCTTCACGGCCACTTGAAGTTACGAAACAACGACGAACCCTTAAAAGTTAAACCACCTTCGTGAGGAAATTCGCACCCCTTCACCAACCGGGACCGACTAATCAACTGTGATTGTACGCAGGCTTCCGGAAATTGTTATTTCTTTGATGTTATTAGCGATTTAGGGATTTGGGACGTGGACTTCTTTTATGGGATTGCGGACTTTTGGACGCTTTCAAAAATTAAGCAACCAAATACACCACCTTTACCCTCATATCTCAAAGTTAAAACTATTTATGGAATTGCAGACTTTTGTGCGCTTTTAAAAATTAAGCTAGCAACCAAATACACTACCTTATCTTTACCCTCATATCATAAAGTTAAAATTATTTATGGGATTGCAGACTTTTGGACGCTTTTAAAAATTAGCAACCAAATACACCAACTTATGTTTTCCCTCATATCTCAAAGTTAAAACTATTAATTCTTGGGCAAACATTGCAGTGAATAATCGTATATTCATTAAAATCCGCGAAAAGAGGAGAATGCATCCAATAAAAGCAATTGACCGGTAAATATCATAAATTAGCATAAATATCCGAGTCGTTGCGCACGTCCCAAAATAATATCTGTCCGTGTGAAATTAGAATATTTGCACGTTTACATGAGCCGCATAATTGTCAAA